GGGGAGCCAAATGTGTAATCCATTCATTCATTCAGCTCAAGGTTTGATTTCATCCCTAAACACAGATATTGTCCAACTAGGGCACCCTTGGCTCTCCCCTCTGGTGTTGACTGCAGTCCATGGTGGCGCTGCTTGTCTATACTATAACTGCAGTCCATGGTTGAGCTGTTTGTCTATACTATAACTGCAGTCCATGGTGGCGCTGCTTGTCTATACTATAACTGCAGTCCATGGTTGAGCTGCTTGTCTATACTATAACTGTAGTCCATGGTGGAGCAGTTTTTCTCTGCCATAACTGTAGTATTCCATGGTGGAGCTGTTTGTCTATACTATAACTGCAGTCCATGGTGGAGCTGTTTGTCTATACTATAACTGCAGTCCATGGTGGAGCTGTTTGTCTATACTATAACTGCAGTCCATGGTGGAGCTGTTTGTCTATACTATAACTGCAGTCCATGGTGGCGCTGTTTGTCTATACTATAACTGTAGTCCATGGTGGAGCTGTTTGTCTGTACTATAACTGCAGTCCATGGTGGAGCTGTTTGTCTATACTATAACTGTAGTCCATGGTGGAGCTGTTTGTCTGTACTATAACTGTAGTCCATGGTGGAGCTGTTTGTCTGTACTATAACTGCAGTCCATGGTGGAGCTGTTTGTCTATACTATAACTGTAGTCCATGGTGGAGCTTGTCTGTACTGTAACTGTAGTATTCCATGGTGGAGCTGCTTGTCTGTACTATAACTGTAGTCCATGGTGGAGCAGTTTTTCTCTGCCATAACTGTAGTATTCCATGATGGAGCTTCTTGTCTGTACTATAACTGTAGTATTCCATAGTGGACCTGCATTTCTCTGCTATAACTGTAGTATTCCATGACGGAGCTGCTTGTCTGTACTGTAACTGTAGTATTCCATAGTGGAGCTGCTTGTCTGTACTGTAACTGTAGTATTTTATAGTGGACCTGCATTTCTCTGCTATAACTGTAGTATTCCATGACGGAGCTGCTTGTCTGTACTGTAACTGTAGTATTCCATGACGGAGCTGCTTGTCTGTACTGTAACTGTAGTATTCCATGACGGAGCTGCTTGTCTGTACTGTAACTGTAGTATTCCATAGTGGAGCTTGTCTGTACTGTAACTGTAGTATTCCATGACGGAGCTGCTTGTCTGTACTGTAACTGTAGTATTCCATGGTGGAGCTGCATTTCTCTGCTATAACTGTAGTATTCCATAGTGGAGCTTGTCTGTACTGTAACTGTAGTATTCCATGGTGGAGCTGCTTGTCTGTACTATAACTGTATTCCATGGTGGACCTGCTTTTCTCTGCTTTCACTGTGGTATTCCATAGTGGAACTGCTTTTCTCTGCTTTCACTGTAGTATTTCATAGTGGAGCTGCTTTTCTCTGCTTTCACTGTAGTATTCCACGGTGGAGCTGCTTGTCTGTACTATAACTGTAGTATCCCATAGTGGAGCTACTTGTCTGTACTATAACTGTAGCATTCCATAGTGGAGATTCGTTTCTCTGCTATAACTGTAGTATTCCATGATGGAGCTGCTTGTCTGTACTATAACTGTAGTATTCCATAGTGGAGATTCATTTCTCTGCTATAACTGTAGTAGTCCATAGTGGTGACACTTTTGTTTGCCATAACTGTAGTAGTACTCAATAGTAGAGCTACTTCAGCTATATCTGTGTTTTCCATACTTTCTCTTAGGCCTAAAGTCTATATGGCTGAAGTAATGCCAATGCGACAAAATGTTTTGATTCATTCTCAGGTCTGAATTATTTCACTTCGGTCTGGTGTTGTTCTGTGTGGAAACAGCTAATTATGAATCTAATTGGATAGCTAATAACTTCTGATGACTTTCAAGGTAACAATCTTGAAGCCAATCCAAATTACCAAATTTTCACAGTTTGACTTACAGACTCCGGTGTGGATTACTAATGACTTTTTGTGCCAAGTTTGTGTCGAGTTAGACATTGGTAGTGTAAATACCTGTGGCTGATAGCGAGAATAACATGATAAAAACACTTGAGAGGGAAGTGAGAGGTGTTTAGATTCAGCTCGGTTCCCAGGATCCATCTGTTGTCATATCACCCAATGATAACACTGTAAAGACATGCGATAACCATCATTACCATTGATAACACCAAGTCATTGATGTTGGCCTGAAATACCTGGGTTATCATGCTAAATCGTGTACATCTTGCTAGGATGTGTGTTTGACTTCCACCAAAATAGACTGCCTTGTGGCAATGTGGCCGGCAGGGGGTGGGTTATGCTTATTACATGTACAGGAACACAGGTCAGGGGGAAGGGCAAAAAAGGGAGGACAGGATGGAATGATAGCTATGTCTGTCATAAAAACCCAAAGGAGCATATGGGTGTCCCATTAGTCTAAGCAGAGTTGCTTCCCTTGGAAGTGCCAGAAAGCTGTGATCCTTGTTTGTTTGATGATGTTTCTAGGTTTGTCAGTGTCACCGAAGTGGTTAACTACAAAGGCCTGCATCTCACTCTTTCCTCCAACATATTATTATGCTGAAATACTGTTCATCAAAGCAGCATTAAGCCCAAATTATCCTCACTCTATACTAATGTCCTGTGTTTGTTCTGGGAAGCTGAGGTGGGGTAGCCTAGTTGTTATAGCGTTTGCTCATCACGGTGAAGACCCAGTCGATTCCCACATAGGTACAATGTGTAAAGCCCATTTCTAGTGTCCTTTGGCGTGATATTGCTATATTATTGCAAAAAGTGGCGTAAAACCATTCTCGCTCAATCTGGAAAGCTGGATTCTTTCCAGTTTTAACTTACTTAATACGATTCAGCTGTAAAAATGTAATTTGAAATAAGGAATACGAAGAATTTGCAAATGGATACAAGTAGTAATGAGTTTCTGATAATTTAGAGTTTGGTTTGGTTTGGAGGGGTGGAATCAAGCCATTAGCAGCCTATTCTACGTTTGGTCATCTGAGTCTCAATCAAATAGATCTCTTCCAGAGAGGACGCAACAACTAATATATCATTTGTGAGAATTCTATTGCCCATCACTGGCCCCTGATTACAGTGTAACTGGCTATTAAGGATTATGTGGGGAAATACACCAACCAGTGCCCCTGTACAACGTGATACTGGGGCATAACTGCCAGGAACAACTAACCATGTGATTTGTCTTCTAGGCCTATGATTGCTAAAGGGATTTATCGCAGGATGGTTAATGAAATGTCCAAGACAATCGGTACTTGATAGTCTCCGTGCGTGTCAGGTGTACATTCATCCCGCCTTTCTGCTCAATCAATTAGATCACCATGTCCTCCGTGGGGCCTTGACAAAGGCAGGTTATCCCTGATAACCCTCGGTAACCCACATCAAACCAGTCATACATCTGGTGAAACCATTACCAAGCAGTCGGTCCTCAGCCTGGGTGATCACCAATACAGTATCACTTGATCTTGAGCCATGGGTGACCTGGGCATTCTAGCATTGTGCGGGGTCACCTCATACAGGTAATTGAGGTCGTAGGTAAAGACCACAACAAAGGCCTAGTCTTGTGTAAGGAATGTTAAATGGGCAGGGCTCGGTCCTGTCCAAATACCAGTGAATTATCTCACCTGTGTAATAAAAATGAGATGTATCTTGATTAATCTTAATGTTTTGTGATATCTCTGAAGTTTTTGTTTTTTTCTAAAATGATGTCTTTTTTTATGCTTCTAGAGATTGTGTGATAAAGATCTCTTGTCACTGTCAGGCTGAGTCACTATTGTAGATACTATCAACATGTTTGTATCTGGTTCCTGTTAGTGGGCAGTTAAGTAGACTTCAAGAGTATTCAGGTGATATTAGTTCTGGAACATAGAGATTGTGTGTTAAACACGAACATGTATAAGTAGTGTGTGTTGGGGGGTCGGGAAGGGTTGGTGTTCGGGTGTGCGTTGTGTGTGTGCATGTGTGTGCAAGTTTTTGTGTGTGTGTGTGAGTGCGTGCGTGCGTGCGTGCGTGTTTGGGTGTTTGGGTGGGTGTGTGGGGTGTGGATTCTTGGGTGTGTTGTGGATGTGTATGGGTGTATGCAGGGGGTGTTGGGGGTGGGGTGTGTGGATTCTAGGGTGTGTGTGTGTGTGCATGTGTGTGTGGGAGTGTGTATGCAGGGGGTGTTGGGGGTGGGGTGTGTGGATTCTTGGGTGTGTGTGGTGGATGTGTATGGGTGTATGGAGGGGGTGTTGGGGGTGGGGTGTGTGGATTCTTGGGTGTGTGTGCGTGTGTTTGACTGGGAGGGAGGAAGCCTAGAGCTCCACAGCATTACTTACTCTGCAAATTTAGCAGTACCAGGATCTGCTGAATGTGTGTTTGAATCCCAGACTACTCCTGATAATGGTCCTCCGTCTGTCTGCATACCATCCTGCTGGTCGGTTCACCTCTGTAGTAATCTTTAACATGCATAAGCCTTGGCTTTCCTTCAACATTAAGCTGGTAGTGTACTGATTACAATGTTAAGCCCAACTCACACAGACATCTAGTTAAAGTTCCACTCCACTGTTTTCCCCATTAAAACCTCATTTAAACCCCGTTAAAACCGTTCTTCACAATTTGTCCAGAAGGCAGCTTTCCAAACTAACAGTGAGTGAGTATGGTTTAATGACGCTTTAAGCAATATTCCAGCAACATCACGGCGGGGGACACCATAAAAATTGGCTTCACACATTGTACCAGTCTCTGGAATCGAACCAGGGTTCTTTGGCATGACGAGTGAACACTTTAACCACTAGGCTACCTGACCACCCCCTAAACTAACAGGGTTTTGCTGTACTTGTGAACAAACTTCACATGTTGTTATTTATCGTGGGATATTTTTTAATTATGTAACATATTTTTTTGAAGAATTTTCTTCTCATCAAAATAATGATTAATTTTCAAATAATAAGAAATGCATTTAGTTTTGTCTGCAGAACTATAATTTCCATATACATGTGTTGCCATGGTAACATATTTGTCATTCTTGTTTCAGCTGCACCCTTTGGGCCTATGTAATACGCAGATCTACGATGACGTGTACGACTTCGGCTGGGTGGGCGTGGTCAAACTGGAGGAGCATGAGCCAATCAAATGTCTCTCTGTTGTGGGCAAGGTGAGGCATTCAGAATATGCAGGTTTTCAGTTTCACCAGTGGATTTATTAAAAAATATATTTCAAATATGTTTGCTGTATATTTCTTCTGAAACTGCTCTTTGTATTTTTCTTGTGAAATCCTATTTTTTCAGTAATTTGTCGTTAAGATTTGATTCCTAAGTCTGTTAATGTTGAATGTTGAAGATGTTCCCAATGTCTGGCTTTACCCATGAAGATCCAGGTAGAGTAGGTCTTCAGCAACCCATGCTTGCTGTAAAAGATCCAGGTAGAGTAGGTCTTCAGCAACCCATGCTTGCTGTAAAAGATCCAGGTAGAGTAGGTCTTCAGCAACCCATGCTTGCTGTAAAAGATCCAGGTAGAGTAGGTCTTCAGCAACCCATGCTTGCTGTAAAAGATCCAGGTAGAGTAGGTCTTCAGCAACCCATGCTTGCTGTAAAAGATCCAGGTAGAGTAGGTCTTCAGCAACCCATGCTTGCTGTAAAAGATCCAGGTAGAGTAGGTCTTCAGCAACCCATGCTTGCTGTAAAAGATCCAGGTAGAGTAGGTCTTCAGCAACCCATGCTTGCTGTAAAAGATCCAGGTAGAGTAGGTCTTCAGCAACCCATGCTTGCTGTAAAAGATCCAGGTAGAGTAGGTCTTCAGCAACCCATGCTTGCTGTAAAAGATCCAGGTAGAGTAGGTCTTCAGCAACCCATGCTTGCTGTAAAAGATCCAGGTAGAGTAGGTCTTCAGCAACCCATGCTTGCTGTAAAAGATCCAGGTAGAGTAGGTCTTCAGCAACCCATGCTTGCTGTAAAAGATCCAGGTAGAGTAGGTCTTCAGCAACCCATGCTTGCTGTAAAAGATCCAGGTAGAGTAGGTCTTCAGCAACCCATGCTTGCTGTAAAAGATCCAGGTAGAATAGGTCTTCAGCAACCCATGCTTGCTGTAAAAGATCCAGGTAGAGTAGGTCTTCAGCAACCCATGCTTGCTGTAAAAGATCCAGGTAGAGTAGGTCTTCAGCAACCCATGCTTGCTGTAAAAGATCCAGGTAGAGTAGGTCTTCAGCAACCCATGCTTGCTGTAAAAGATCCAGGTAGAGTAGGTCTTCAGCAACCCATGCTTGCTGTAAAAGATCCAGGTAGAGTAGGTCTTCAGCAACCCATGCTTGCTGTAAAAGATCCAGGTAGAGTAGGTCTTCAGCAACCCATGCTTGCTGTAAAAGATCCAGGTAGAGTAGGTCTTCAGCAACCCATGCTTGCTGTAAAAGATCCAGGTAGAGTAGGTCTTCAGCAACCCATGCTTGCTGTAAAAGATCCAGGTAGAATAGGTCTTCAGCAACCCATGCTTGCTGTAAAAGATCCAGGTAGAGTAGGTCTTCAGCAACCCATGCTTGCTGTAAAAGATCCAGGTAGAGTAGGTCTTCAGCAACCCATGCTTGCTGTAAAAGATCCAGGTAGAGTAGGTCTTCAGCAACCCATGCTTGCTGTAAAAGATCCAGGTAGAGTAGGTCTTCAGCAACCCATGCTTGCTGTAAAAGATCCAGGTAGAGTAGGTCTTCAGCAACCCATGCTTGCTGTAAAAGATCCAGGTAGAGTAGGTCTTCAGCAACCCATGCTTGCTGTAAAAGATCCAGGTAGAGTAGGTCTTCAGCAACCCATGCTTGCTGTAAAAGATCCAGGTAGAGTAGGTCTTCAGCAACCCATGCTTGCTGTAAAAGATCCAGGTAGAGTAGGTCTTCAGCAACCCATGCTTGCTGTAAAAGATCCAGGTAGAGTAGGTCTTCAGCAACCCATGCTTGCTGTAAAAGATCCAGGTAGAGTAGGTCTTCAGCAACCCATGCTTGCTGTAAAAGATCCAGGTAGAGTAGGTCTTCAGCAACCCATGCTTGCTGTAAAAGATCCAGGTAGAGTAGGTCTTCAGCAACCCATGCTTGCTGTAAAAGATCCAGGTAGAGTAGGTCTTCAGCAACCCATGCTTGCTGTAAAAGATCCAGGTAGAATAGGTCTTCAGCAACCCATGCTTGCTGTAAAAGATCCAGGTAGAATAGGTCTTCAGCAACCCATGCTTGCTGTAAAAGATCCAGGTAGAATAGGTCTTCAGCAACCCATGCTTGCTGTAAAAGATCCAGGTAGAGTAGGTCTTCAGCAACCCATGCTTGCTGTAAAAGATCCAGGTAGAGTAGGTCTTCAGCAACCCATGCTTGCTGTAAAAGATCCAGGTAGAGTAGGTCTTCAGCAACCCATGCTTGCTGTAAAAGATCCAGGTAGAGTAGGTCTTCAGCAACCCATGCTTGCTGTAAAAGATCCAGGTAGAATAGGTCTTCAGCAACCCATGCTTGCTGTAAAAGATCCAGGTAGAGTAGGTCTTCAGCAACCCATGCTTGCTGTAAAAGATCCAGGTAGAGTAGGTCTTCAGCAACCCATGCTTGCTGTAAAAGATCCAGGTAGAATAGGTCTTCAGCAACCCATGCTTGCTGTAAAAGATCCAGGTAGAATAGGTCTTCAGCAACCCATGCTTGCTGTAAAAGATCCAGGTAGAGTAGGTCTTCAGCAACCCATGCTTGCTGTAAAAGATCCAGGTAGAGTAGGTCTTCAGCAACCCATGCTTGCTGTAAAAGATCCAGGTAGAGTAGGTCTTCAGCAACCCATGCTTGCTGTAAAAGATCCAGGTAGAGTAGGTCTTCAGCAACCCATGCTTGCTGTAAAAGATCCAGGTAGAATAGGTCTTCAGCAACCCATGCTTGCTGTAAAAGATCCAGGTAGAGTAGGTCTTCAGCAACCCATGCTTGCTGTAAAAGATCCAGGTAGAATAGGTCTTCAGCAACCCATGCTTGCTGTAAAAGATCCAGGTAGAGTAGGTCTTCAGCAACCCATGCTTGCTGTAAAAGATCCAGGTAGAATAGGTCTTCAGCAACCCATGCTTGCTGTAAAAGATCCAGGTAGAGTAGGTCTTCAGCAACCCATGCTTGCTGTAAAAGATCCAGGTAGAGTAGGTCTTCAGCAACCCATGCTTGCTGTAAAAGATCCAGGTAGAGTAGGTCTTCAGCAACCCATGCTTGCTGTAAAAGATCCAGGTAGAATAGGTCTTCAGCAACCCATGCTTGCTGTAAAAGATCCAGGTAGAGTAGGTCTTCAGCAACCCATGCTTGCTGTAAAAGATCCAGGTAGAGTAGGTCTTCAGCAACCCATGCTTGCTGTAAAAGATCCAGGTAGAGTAGGTCTTCAGCAACCCATGCTTGCTGTAAAAGATCCAGGTAGAGTAGGTCTTCAGCAACCCATGCTTGCTGTAAAAGATCCAGGTAGAGTAGGTCTTCAGCAACCCATGCTTGCTGTAAAAGATCCAGGTAGAGTAGGTCTTCAGCAACCCATGCTTGCTGTAAAAGATCCAGGTAGAGTAGGTCTTCAGCAACCCATGCTTGCTGTAAAAGATCCAGGTAGAGTAGGTCTTCAGCAACCCATGCTTGCTGTAAAAGATCCAGGTAGAGTAGGTCTTCAGCAACCCATGCTTGCTGTAAAAGATCCAGGTAGAGTAGGTCTTCAGCAACCCATGCTTGCTGTAAAAGATCCAGGTAGAGTAGGTCTTCAGCAACCCATGCTTGCTGTAAAAGATCCAGGTAGAGTAGGTCTTCAGCAACCCATGCTTGCTGTAAAAGATCCAGGTAGAGTAGGTCTTCAGCAACCCATGCTTGCTGTAAAAGATCCAGGTAGAGTAGGTCTTCAGCAACCCATGCTTGCTGTAAAAGATCCAGGTAGAGTAGGTCTTCAGCAACCCATGCTTGCTGTAAAAGATCCAGGTAGAGTAGGTCTTCAGCAACCCATGCTTGCTGTAAAAGATCCAGGTAGAGTAGGTCTTCAGCAACCCATGCTTGCTGTAAAAGATCCAGGTAGAGTAGGTCTTCAGCAACCCATGCTTGCTGTAAAAGATCCAGGTAGAGTAGGTCTTCAGCAACCCATGCTTGCTGTAAAAGATCCAGGTAGAGTAGGTCTTCATCAACCCATGCTTGCTGTAAAAGATCCAGGTAGAGTAGGTCTTCAGCAACCCATGCTTGCTGTAAAAGATCCAGGTAGAGTAGGTCTTCATCAACCCATGCTTGCTGTAAAAGATCCAGGTAGAGTAGGTCTTCATCAACCCATGCTTGCTGTAAAAGATCCAGGTAGAGTAGGTCTTCAGCAACCCATGCTTGCTGTAAAAGATCCAGGTAGAGTAGGTCTTCAGCAACCCATGCTTGCTGTAAAAGATCCAGGTAGAATAGGTCTTCAGCAACCCATGCTTGCTGTAAAAGATCCAGGTAGAGTAGGTCTTCAGCAACCCATGCTTGCTGTAAAAGATCCAGGTAGAGTAGGTCTTCAGCAACCCATGCTTGCTGTAAAAGATCCAGGTAGAGTAGGTCTTCAGCAACCCATGCTTGCTGTAAAAGATCCAGGTAGAGTAGGTCTTCAGCAACCCATGCTTGCTGTAAAAGATCCAGGTAGAGTAGGTCTTCAGCAACCCATGCTTGCTGTAAAAGATCCAGGTAGAGTAGGTCTTCAGCAACCCATGCTTGCTGTAAAAGATCCAGGTAGAATAGGTCTTCAGCAACCCATGCTTGCTGTAAAAGATCCAGGTAGAGTAGGTCTTCAGCAACCCATGCTTGCTGTAAAAGATCCAGGTAGAGTAGGTCTTCAGCAACCCATGCTTGCTGTAAAAGATCCAGGTAGAGTAGGTCTTCAGCAACCCATGCTTGCTGTAAAAGATCCAGGTAGAGTAGGTCTTCAGCAACCCATGCTTGCTGTAAAAGATCCAGGTAGAGTAGGTCTTCAGCAACCCATGCTTGCTGTAAAAGATCCAGGTAGAGTAGGTCTTCAGCAACCCATGCTTGCTGTAAAAGATCCAGGTAGAGTAGGTCTTCAGCAACCCATGCTTGCTGTAAAAGATCCAGGTAGAGTAGGTCTTCAGCAACCCATGCTTGCTGTAAAAGATCCAGGTAGAATAGGTCTTCAGCAACCCATGCTTGCTGTAAAAGATCCAGGTAGAGTA